TGGGAGCTAATCCAGCGGTTTCTCGTTAAATGCCAGTATTGTGCAATTGCAGAATTACAACAGGCCTGGAGGAGGAAGGGCTAGTGAGCAAGAGCCATATCAGGCCGCACGAGAGACAGAAACACCCCTTTCAGAAGAACAAAACTCCAGTGACGGCTACGACCCACCCCCACGTCCTTTATGGTTTGTTGTGTACCCTCGGCCAACCCTGAACTGGTGGTCCTCCTGTCTCAGTCTCCTGAGTGTTAGGAGCACAGATATATGCTGTTATGCTCAGATCACGGAGTCTGTCTAAAACTAACTAGGAGACCAAGTCCTGTATGTAAAAGCAAAGGGCCTTTATTCCTTTACAAGTTTGCAGACTCGGACTCTCCGTGGGTCCATCGTATTGGAGTGGTTGGAGAGTCCCGAGCTCCGTTGGGGTCTGGTTTTTCTAGTAGTAAAGGTGGGGGTGAGGGATTTCTAAGGCTCAGGACCGTTGATTGGCTAACATTTGTCTAGGGGTGTCCTGGTGAAGAGCGATGGGTGCGCACTGGCAGGCGATCCTATCTACTCGGTTGGAAGTTAGGAATTTCCTTTGGATGGTCTGTTCCTAGGTGGTGCCTGGGTAGTCTCAGTTTGTGGTCTTTCTCGGAACCTGGGTAAACTACTGAGACTCAGGCCTCTATTGAGCTGGTCACGGCTGGGTCCTTCATCAAAAGTGGCCAATAGTCCTTTTGTTGTTGCTGTTTTGAGACAGGATCTTACTATATGTAGCTCTGGTTGTCCTGGAAATTATTAGGTAGACCAAGCTGTTCTCGAACTCACAAAGATCTGCCAGCCTCTGCCTCCCAAGTGCTGGGATTAAAGGCGTGTGACACATGTCTGTCTTTATATATTCAGTTTAAGCCTACCTTTTCTCCTTTGTTCAGATTGCATGACTTTATTCTTTTAGTTCTTTCCTGCATGTCATCCCTTTGACTTTGAGTCAGTATTAGTTAGCTCTTTACTGTAATAAAATACCCAAGATGTCTAACTTCTGAAGAGAAAAGTCTTGTTTTGGTTTATGGTGTTGATATTTACAGCTTTGGGTCTCTCATGTGGCAGTGGCTGGTAGTGGATGGCAGAACAAATTGCTTATTTTGGCCAAGAAGCAAAAGAGAAGAGGAAGATATTGAGGTCTCATTTTTTTTTCTTTTTTTCCTTTTATCTGGACAAAGTTTATCTGCATATCCCTTGACCGTCCTGGAACTAGCTATGTAGACCAGGCTGGTCTTGAACTCAGAGATCCTCCTGCCTCTGCCTCCAGAGTACTAGGATTAAAGTCATGTGCCACCACCGCCCACTGAGTTTCCATAATCTTGCCAGTGGTATGCCCACAGTGACATAAAGCTCCTACTAGGCCATCCATAGTGCTTTCCATGTAGGCCATGGGGCCAAGGCTTTACCAGGCGGGCCTTTGGGAGACACTACTGACAATCACAGCGGAGTCTATCTTCTGAGCCTCTTATTTTGGCTACTGTAAAGTTTTTCCAGCCCAATAAGCCTCTCCGCTGTCACAATAATCCAAATCAGACCAAATCAAACCAAATTAGAAAAAGGCCCAGTTTAATGGTTGCCAGCGTACCCGGGTGGCCCTCTGGGACAACATGGGAGGGGAGGGGAGGGAAAGCTGGAAGACCACGTGTTTGTTCTCTGGGGCAGTTTAAATAGCCTCTGTGCGTGGTCTTGACCCTCTCTGGGGAAGGGTCACCTTTTGGCGGGCTTTCTCGGAGATGGAGTCTGGACTGTGGCAACTCCCAGGGGACGGGGCTTGAATTGGGACTTTCCACTCAAACATTCCAAAATAAATGCCAGGGGACTGGGGTGACACTTCAAGCAAACAGTTACTATAACTTTAGTTCTAAGTGGTTCTTTGAGTTTCCTGTTTAAAACAGACTATTTTGCTGAGGCTTGCTCGTTTTTCACTTGTCTCAAGGTACTGATACTTGATTGTTGAAGCGTTTTTATCACAGTTCCTAGATATTTTGTCAGGTAATTTTCTATCTCGGTTATCTTTCTCTTGGCATCTGCTGGTTGAGTTTTAAAAATTCAGGGTTGAGTTCTTGGTATTGCATGGAATTTCTCAGTGGAACCCTGGGCATTTCATTGACTCTGTTCAGTCCTGACAGGGAGCGCAGTGAGAGGAGGCGAGAGCAGGGGCAGAGCGGTCGCAGCACTGCAGGCCCAGGAAGGTGGATATCTAGGTGCCCCACTAGGTCTCTGGGAACAACCACAGTGCAGAGCTTAGAACTGGGAACTGACAGAGAAGCAAGAGCCTTCTCGACCTTCCTACCTGGCTTACCAGGATGACCTGCACACTCTCCTTTCCCTTTGCATCTCTGTGGATGCCAATAGTGAAGTGAGGGTCCTGCCCCCACCCCTGGATTCTCTGAAATTGCAGTCTTGCAATGTGAAGCCAGAGTCTGTTCTTGAATGTTCTCCTTGGGTTTTATTATTTTATTATTATTAGTCTGTGTGTACACTCGTCACAGCCCACAGGTGGAGGTAGGCCTGTGGGCAAGTTTATGGAGTAGGTTCTCTTCTTCCACCATTATGTGGGTTTTGGGGATCAAACTTAGGTCATCAGCCTGTGCGACAAGCTCTTTACCTGTTGAGCCATCTCTCCAGTTCATTCCTTTGTTTCTTTAAAAACATTGTATGTTTTTATTTTAGGTGTATGAGTGTTTGTCAAAAGACAAAAATCAAAAAACAAAAAAAAACCCAAAAAATAAAAAAACATTTTTACCAACCAAAAAAAAAATTAAAAAAAAAAACCCTGTATGTAGACCAGGCCAGCCTCAAACTGTCTGCCTCTGCCTCCTGAGTGCTGGAATTAAAGGTGTGTACCACCACCAGCCTCAAATGGTTTTTTACCCCAAAGGAAATTCTGGTACGTTGCACAGCGAGTGGTAATGCCAATTGCCTTCTGCTCATGGGCGCTCGCTCACATGGTTGTGTCTGCTGTGTGTGCAAACAAGCAGATGGACTTTCATATTCCTTGTGTCTGCTGTGTGTGCAAACATGCAGATGGACTTCCATATCCCTGTGCCCTGTTTTGCTTTGGTGAATCCAAGCCCCAGAAGGATTCAGATAAACTGAGTTGAAAAAATAGTATTGTTGGCCATGTTGTGAAGGACCAGCAGGAGTAATCAGAGTATTTCTGACCTGAGGTGTAGCTCAGGTTGGCCTCCAACTTGTGATGCAGTAGAGGATAACTCTGAACTCCCGATCGTTCTGCCTCTGCCTTATAAATATGTGCTATAAGTTCACTCCTCATCCATCTCCCTTTTAATCTTGGCGCATGCCTTATAAAAATTAAAGAGTTGTTTGGCTTGGACTTGGGAAAATTCTGCCGTGCTCATCTCTGCACTCAGGGAAGTTAACTGTTCATTCATGAGGTGGATTAGGAAAAGCTTTGTAAAAGTGTCAGGTTTCCTTGCTCCATGGATAACAAGGGTGGAGGATATTTATAATGGATTCTTTTTGGTTTTTCAAGACAGTTTCACTGTTTGCTCTGGCTGTCCTGAAATTCCCTTTGTAGACCAGGCTGGCCTTGTACTCACAGAGTACAATAGATCCTTCTTTGATGGGAGATGATTGGTGACTCTTTGGAGACAGACATCTATACATTTCCTGGTTTTATGTTGCCATATACAGTATACTGTTGCTGATTGTGGTGGCGTACCCTTTAATCCCAACACCTGGGACACTGAATCAGGTAAATCCCTGTGAGTTTGAGGCCAGTCTGGTCTTTGAAGTGAGTTCTAGGTTCTAGGACAGTCAGGGCTTCACTGAGAAACTCTGCCCGCCTCCCCCCCCCCCCCCCCCCCCCCCAAAAAAAAAAAAAAGAATACTCTCAGAGCCATGGCAGACTTTGCCTTTTGCCTGTGTTAGGGATATATGTGTCCTCGGTATGGTGCACTTTTCAACATAGCATAGCAGCCTTTGTTAATTACTTTCCGTTGCTGTGATAAACACCAAGACCAAGGCAACTTGGAAAAGGAGGTTTGTTTTGGACTTCCGGGTCTAGAGGAATAAAAGCGAGTCCATCACCGTCACAGTGGGGAGCATGGCAGCAGGCACCAGGCTTGGCTGCTGGAGCAGCAGCTGAGAGCTCACACCTCAAACCACAAATAGGAAACAACAAACTGGGAATGGCTTATGGCTTTTGAAACCTCAAAGCCCACACCCAGTGACATACTTCTTCCACCAAAGCCACACCTCCTAATCATACTTAATGCCACAAACTGGAGACCAAGCATTCAAATACCAAAAAATATGGGGTGCGCTTCAGTCAAATCATCACACAGCTATTAGCCAAATGTGACCTTTTTTTGGTTTATCAAGGCAGGGTTTCACTGTATAACAGTCCTGGCTGTCCTGGAACTCATTCTGTAAACCAGGCTTACTGAAAAACCAGAACAAATATGATTTTTTTTTTAAGGTAAGTAAAATGAGGTGGCACACACCTTTAATACTAGCACTTGGGAGGCAGAGGCAGCTGGATCTTTGTGAGTTCAAGGCCAGCCTGGTCTACAAAGTGAGTTCCAGGACATCCAAGACTATTTTATTTTACAGAGAAACCCTGTCTCAAAAACAAAAACAAAAAACAACAAACAAACAAAGCAAAAAAAAAAAAGGAAAAAAAAGAAAAGATAAAAAGATAAGTAAAATGATGTCTTCATTAGATTGGGACTATCCTTATTTTAAGTAGTGATTGGCCAGATGTTGCTCCTGGCCGCCACGTTGGAAAGTGGTGACAAAGTCTCCTTTACGATACAAAGGCATCTGGAACAGTGCTCTGCTGGACTGGTCATTTCTAAGAAGAAACTGAGGCAAATGAAAGACCAAAGCAATTAAGACCTGCATTTCCACTCTCCTTGCCACTCCTAATATTTCAGATCGGAATTCATGAGAGTTCTGCTGCTTGAGTGTCCTCATTTTTGACCTTGGTTTTGAATGTTTAATTCTGTTTGCAGGCTGGCAGTGATGGCGAGAGCATCGGCAACTGCCCCTTCTCACAGAGGCTCTTCATGATCCTTTGGCTCAAAGGAGTTGTGTTTAGCGTCACAACCGTCGACCTGAAAAGGTAAGATGAGGCTGTGGTGTGGAACTGCCTTGCAAGTGTGTAGTTTATGCCTAGCTTGGATCTCCTTCCTGCCCTTTGCTTTGATCGCCCATGAAGGAAGCACACAGTATTCAAGTTTTCTGTTTAAGGCTAGATTTAACTTGTACAAACATTAGAGTCAAGGGGTGGTGTGTGTGTTTGATTAACACTGAGCCATCCCCATAGCTCCACATAGTGCCCCTGACATAGATAAATGCCTCAGCCTTGTTTACTAATTACTTTCTAAGCATTTCAAGTTGTTAACAGTGTCTAGGGGAAACTTGTCAGACGGCAGACAGTTATTTATCCTGAGAGTGGTCATAGAGCGGTTCCCAGTCAGGTTAGCATCCCAGGGGGGTCTTTGCCTGTGCCTTATTTATTTTTTACTTCTTTGGAACAGTTTTCTTCCTTCCTTCCTTTCTTTCTTCCTTCCTTCCTTCCTTCCTTTCTTTCTTTCTTTCTTTCTTTCTTTCTTTCTTTCTTTCTTTCTTTCTTTCTTTCTTTTCGGCTTTTCAAGACAGGGTTTCTCAGTGTAGCAGCTCTAGCTATCCTGGAACTTAACTTTGTAGATGAGGCTGGCCTTGAATTCACTGAGGTCTGCCTGCTCGACCTTGGAACAGTTTTTGAAATGCTGAAGATTTAAAAACATATTTGTTAATTGGGTGGGTGACTCTTCTTTGGGAGGCAGAGGCAGGAGAATTGTTCATTCAAGGCTGGCCTGAGCTATAGAGTGAGAGAGAGACTCTATTTCAAAAAGGGAAAAAAAGTGTATTTGTTGAAAATAACCAGTCTTTGAGGAACCCCTCTGGAGAAAGTTTGTGAATGTAGGAAATAAGCCTTTAGTATAAGCATTGGAATGACTGCAGGCTCCTGAGAAGACCCTGGTCTGTTCCTGCTGGACAGAGTTGTTTTAAGAGTGGAATAAGTCACGCAGTGACCCTGCTATTACTTTTTATTTTTCTACATATATTCAAAAAGGAAGCTTCTCAGTCTAACTCCTAAAAATAGACCATACCCCAGACACACACCCTTACTATGTCCTAAGCTACGTGGTGTTCTCCTATTCCAATTTTAGCTCGGAACAAATGAGCTGGCAGCCATGCTTTGAAAAGACTTCTTTGAGTAGTTGGGCACAGTGCCTGATTGTCCAAGAAGACATCAGGAATGCCGAATCTGGTGGGGAAAGAGTGCATCGGGGCCTTCTTCTCCTTTACAGACTCCGGGAGGCGTTACTGCTGCAAGCTGATTGGTGCTTGAGGGCTGGTGTACCTGAAAGCATTGTACTCCATATACAAAAACTGATACATAGGACATAGGTATTTGAGGTCTTAGAGCCAGAACCTACCAAGGATGTGCATTTTCTAGGGTTACATATCAGATCAATAGAAGAGAACAGCTAAAGTTAGGGTCTGGGGTTTTGGTTTTCTCTAGAAATCTTAGGTCTGTAGTACAAACAAGATAATTTCCTCTCCTAGACACAAGGTTTGCAGTTCCCCTACCCCTGCCAGTCCATTCCCAAGTGGAGGTGTTCCGGGTGTTTGATCCCATACTCCATTAACTTTCAGGAGGATAAAATGAAGGTTCACAAGGCCCATGATGACTCCTCCCCCTCCAGCCAGGTCATCAGTGTCCTTTCCTGGAGACCCCAGCTTTTAGGCATGGTCTGTGATGTTTATCTGTTCAGACCTTTCCCATGGGCTTACAGAGTTTTGAATATTTTTAAAAGCGAGTGACCCAAGAGAATGAACCCTGGCTCAGAAACAACATATAATAAAGTTGTCACCAGAGTAACTTGCCCCATGGTATGAAGAACCTTCCATACGTACACTTAGTTTTAAAGTCTGTCGGGGAGAAAATACCCACTGAGCTTATTTTCTTGAATATCTTGGAAATTGCCCACTTCTGCACCGAAAGTACTGATCCCGGAGCGTGCCAGCTCAGAGTGACGCCCCCCCCCCCCCAGAGCTACTGAGAAGCCCACTCTGTACCCTGAAGCAGTGATTGTTAGCTTTCCTCCGTAAGAACAGGCGGGGTCTGGCTCCGACACAGAGGCACAGCGTGTCTTCTAAGTCTCAGTCGGTGTTAATGACTGTGCTGGCGTATTCATGCCTTCTGTGAGCCTTCCTGCCCCGCCAGTGCCTGCCTCCAATGCAGCTTTAATGTTCCAGTGGGAGTTATTTCCAAGTCTGCTTCTCTGTTCATGATGAAGTTGTATTAAAGGCATTTTAGCTAAAATGGCATCCAGGCCACAGAAAGAATCTATCTCAGCCATTGCTATTTGAACAAAAGCTGCAGATAAATATGTTTTAGATCTGGGAGTCCAGCAGCAGATACATGTCATCATGTGGGGATAAAAGCAGGGTAGCTTGGGAGAAAGGAGTAGGGCCTGGCTGTGCCCCGAGAGCCCCGCTAGAAGTAACCCTGAGTCTGAGGGCAAGAAGCCTCATCCTCCGGAGGTCAGTTGCTCTTTCAAGGTAGGTCAAAGGGAAGGTTAACCTTCAGTCTCGGTTGTGTGGTGGGCACTGTTTAGAGTACTTTTGCCTATTTTAAGATTTTTTTTATTAACCTTTTTTGGTCGGTAGTTTCAAGATAGGGTTTCTCTTCATTTAGCTTTCACTGCCCTGGAACTCCTGTAGAGCAGGCTGTCTGTTTCAGACATCCGCCTGCCTCTGCCTCCTGAGTGCTGGAATTAAAGGTGCGCACCACCACCGCCCAGCTGGTTTTGACCTCTTAACGATTAGAGTTTATTGGCTTAACGATTAGAGTTTATTGGTTACTTGTGATCTCAGAGCTTGGGAGGCAGAGGCAGAAGGATGGATCTCATCCTTCTGATGAGTTCCAGGCTACCAGGGTAGTTAGAGACGGTGTTTCAAAACACCAAAACAAAGTATATAAATTAGTGATCTGAAGAGAGACAGCCGGGACACACACTAAGTCAGCTGCTTCTCTCTGTACAGCTTAGGGGACCTGCGTAGAAATTGTAACTAAGACGTTTACTCTGTCTGTCTGTCTGTGACTGCTTATGTATGTTGCCAGAAGGGAATATTGAGTGTCCTTCTCTGTGGCTCTCCATCATAATCTCTTGAGAACAGGCTCTCCTTCATTTTATGTGCATAGGTGTTTGCCTGCATATATGTCTGTGCACGACATGCCCACAGAGGCCAGAAGAGGGCATTGGATACCGTAGATCTAGAGTTTCGGATAGTTTGTGGCCTACTTTATGGGTGCTGGGAATTGAGTCTGGATTCTTAGAAGGGCAGCTGGTTCCTTACCCTCTGAGCCATTGTTCCATCTCTGAGAACAGGGTCTCACCATTTTGGCCAGGCTGGCTCTTGAGATCTGCCTGTCTCTCCAAGTTACAGGCACATACAGTGGCCACACCAGAGTTTTACAAGAGTCCTGGGGATCTGAACTTTGGTCCTCATACTTGCCCAGCAACCACTTTTTATACTGATCCATCTCCCCAGCCCTAACATTAACTTTCTATCATGAAAAGCAGTCATGTCTGCCATAATACCAGTGAATCAGATATTTGCATGTAGAAATTATAGAAAATAGAGGTTACTTTTTAAAACCCTGGGAAATGTACAGTTCTATTCTCTGTTAAACACGGAAACCCATCTTACTTGCCTTGTCCTAGTGATTTCCTACCCCAAACAGAGGCATACCATTTTTAATACAGTGCATTAGTCAGCTCGGAGTCTAGTTACTATAGCAACAAAACTGTTATGGTGATAGCTTAGACCTCAATGTAGTTTCTTTATAATGAAACAACAGAGCAATGGAAATGAGAGTGCCAAACCTTTTCAAAAGAGTCATGAATTCAGAGCAAAATCTAATTTCCAAATAGACCCACAAGGTGGTTTCAGTTTTATTGTGTCTCAAGCTGGGCATGGTGGTGCATGCCTGCAATCCCAGGATTGTAAGGAACAAGAGTCTCTGGTTCCAGGCCAGCCCGGGCTACACATGAGGCCCTGTCTCTAAAGAGCAGCTACGACATGAGCAACTATCCCTCAAAACAAGAGCCACCATCATATATGTCTGTCTTGTCCTACTGTCTAAAGTTGAGAGATGAGTGACATTTCCTGGTAGCTCTTCAGTAAGGAATGCATGAGTGACCCATGCAGAGGGTGAATGTAGTGGAACAGGGAGGCTTCTAGAGAAACTGCCAGCTTCCTGTGGCCCTTAGTCATCTGGGAAAGGCAGGACTTTGTCTTCCTCTATGAAGCTTCTGAGAACCCTAGACCAGCCCTGAAGTTTGTCTCAAGACTGTGATACTAGATACTGTGTGTCCGTCTATCTGCTTTATGTCTTCTTCCTTCTGCCCCTCTTCCTTAGGAGAATTTTTCTACCGCATGTTTTTTTTTTTTTTTCTCCAAGAGATTGTCAGAGAGAATAATTCCTGAGGCTGTTGAGAGTGAATTAGAAAAGAGATTAGTGAATATATATACACACATACACACATACATACCAGAGAGTATCAGATCCCTTGAGCTGCCTGCTGTAGGTGCTGAGAACCGAACTTAGATCTCTCTAGCCCCATAATGAATATTTTTCTAAGCCTCTTTTCAACACAAATTCTACTTATACATTGTGTTCTTAAAATGTGTTCTGAAGTCTTGAGAGTGTTATTTTATTTTTAAAATATTGCTTCATAGCCGGGCATTGTGGCACATGCTCTTAATCCCAGGCCCTTGGGAAGCAGAAGCAGGTGGATCTCTGAGTTTGAGGCCAGCCTGGTCTACAGAGTGAGTTCCAGGACAGCCAGGGCTACACAGAGAAACCTTGTCTTGAAAAGCAAAAGCAAACTCACTCACACACACCATCTCTCTCTATATATATGTATGTGTATCACAAACTAATACTGAAGTAGACAGCAATGAGCTGATTATAACGTAGCGAAGCTCAGTGAAATCCTTAGGAAGGAGAAGCCAGTGACTGCTCCTCTGTAACTTTATTAGTCAGCCAGAAGATTGCAAATC